CAAGACAGTTTCACTGCTGCATGTGTATGTGGTTCCTTAATCTATGTAACAGAAAAAGAAAATGAGGGATGTATCCACATGATGTATTTATAAGGTTAAACAACTCCATTCTCTGTTACAGATTTCTTTTTTGAATTGTGATAATTAAATTTGGGAAACATTATTTCTATAGAACACATTTTATGAGGACAATATTAATAAAATGCTTCCTATATAAAAGGCTAAGAAATTTCCAAAGACAAGTTTTCTGAAATGTCATGGCTCCATTCATATTTCTGCCTTATTCTCCCAATTGGGATATACAATGTTTAGAGCTCTTACATTTGAAAGCTTAGAAGGACTTGACCTTTGAAATGGTGTCTTGGATTCATTGTTTTGTTTCGTTAAATAAAGCTATATGAAGCTTGTGGATTAAAAAAAATAAGTTTCTAAATTAAAAAAAATTTTAAACACATTTTTCTTAATAAACCAAACCTCCTGGTGTCTTTTTCCCAATTTACAAATAGAATACATGCTCAGTTTCTTAATTTTTCTTACAGAAACAATATTATTAAAAGCACCCGACATTTTAGTCTACCCTTCAAAAAAGTCTAGCTCATCAAGTAGATGAATGACAACCCCAACTTCACATGCAAGTCTCATGACTAGAGAATGGGCAACATGGGAGAAAATAATACTCTTCCATTCTGCACAAGAAGCATGTATTAGGCAAAACACTGAAACTGCCCAAATTACCCACTTCTCCTTCACTACATCTTTCTCCGTGGCAAACCTGTTCTCTAGATTCTGCATATTGCTGTAAGATTCCATTCAAGATCCTGCTCAGTCTCTCCTACTCCTAACAGTCCTTTAAGTTGAGCTTCAAAATTCTCCACTTCCACCAACCGGTAATCAAACCTCCATTTTTAGTGTAGCTTGTTCCAACTCAAACACGTATCTTTTAAAAAGTGCTTAAACCATTTAATGTCTTGAAGCTACAAAAAAGAATTGTGAAATTTTCCTATTTATGTGGAGTGAAATTCTTTAGCTAGCTTTAAAAAAATGATGAAAGTTTTGACATTTGATAAGTTGTATTATTCACAAATCAGTATGTCAGCAGATGGTGGTAATGAAGATTATCACTGATGTTCCCAAATGTACTACTATCTTAAACCAAATAAACCTTGCAAATAAAAACAATAGACTATAAATAAATAGTCTTGGGCAAAATGTAAACAAGCCAGTGAAAGTTACACACACACACTCTGGATCGACAACATAGGCTTTCTTTTGTATTAATCTTTTTCATAATGTGAAATCAGAAGTACACTAGGATACTACTATTTCCTGATAAGAATATCAAATTGCACAGAGTAACTAAAGACCGCTTAGTCAAAGCAAACAGAAATTCACAAATATTACACTTAAAAAATATAATCAATTTTGAAGTACATTTGAAAAGAAAACTCAAAAAGTGGGAAAAAATTAAATCTCTAACATGATTTTCACCCTAACCACGTATATAATGTATAGTACTCTCAAACTATGTTGAGTTGTTATATACAAATTATATGGAAAAATAAAAGCAGAAAGATGGGAGCAGATGACTAAATCATAGTATAATGAGAATAATAAAACTTTAAAATCTTCCTGCCTCAGCCTTTCATAAAGCTGGGATCAAAGTTGTGCACCACTGTACCTTGCTAAAACTTTTTTGTGTTTAAAACTCATTTAGTGAACTTGATGTACTGCCCTTGACTCTACAAAAGCTTAAAATACTTTTCAAATATTTTTCTACCTTAAAACAATTTCATCACTTAGAATGAATAACTCATGCAATACTAATGAAAAGGTAACAGTAAGTGAATGTATATAATACACACATGTGCACAAACACGCACAGGCAAACACGCTGACGAAGCCTTAATGCCTCAAATTTTAGTTGTGTTTTCCAGGTGAACACAGATATGTACGACAAATAAATGAATAATATAACTATCCTTTATCAACAGATTTAGGGACGGTGAGGACAAGAGAATCAAAACAAAACAAAAAAAAGTATCATTCTGGTGCCAAAAGTATCTAAAATTAGTTTATCTTACTGATTCATAATTGGATGGCATAAACTAGCAGAGCAGCAAAGGTACAAAGATAGAAATTCAAACCTCTAATTAAGTAGTGGTTTGACAATTTGAATGTCCTGTACCTGCTTGACACCATGACTGAGTAAGCACCTCAAATGAAAATTAATGCTGCACATAGTATCACCGTGGTTGTAACAACTTGATTTTGTTTAGAAAGCAAAAACACAAAGACTCAAAAATCATCAGACCTCCCAAAACCTTGCACATAATTTTATTCATTCAAGAAAGAGTAGTTTGTACTACTTTTAAAAAAGGTTTTGAGGATTCTCTCACAATGTGTTGATTACGGGCATCTGATTGTAACACAATTACAGCCAACCCAACTGCCACATCAGCTTCTCCTCAGGGGAGGAGTCTTAATCACAAATCAACAAAACAATGAATTCAAACTTATTAAAACCAGTGAGTAGATAGATGCTGGCTTCCAGTCCGATTTTTACATCTTTCAAAAGGTCAGTACATTCACTCAATAACACAACAGTTACCTTTCAAATGCTTCCTTTTTTCTAGGATTGAGAGATAAAATGTAATCACTTAAAGTGAACTTTAATAATAACTAAAATGTTCATTACTTTTGAAATGGTGACCCACTAAAATAAAGACAGCTTAGTCTTCCTCTGTGGCCAAAGTCTTTAAGTCTTTCCTGATCATTTAAAATAGTTTCCTAGATCTAAGACTCATGAACATATTTATTACTCTTTTCTGCATCTGTCTTAATGTACTATAGTAACATTACATGTTTGCCTGAAAAAATGAAAACTTTTCTTTTGCTAAAAGAGCAACTAAAGCAAATCGAGTTTAGATATAAACGTTACCAAAAAAACAAGATGCCAACACAATTAAATGGATTTAGCAGTTAAAATGAATTTTAACTATTTATATCTGCTCACAGTGTTATAATGATAAAAACCCAGCATTTATATCCTTCATAATAAAAATTTATTCTGCACTTTAATACAAAGGCGAGGTTGCATAAACAGAGGATTTAAAGCTGTAGCAGAGTAGCTGAATGAAAGGAAAATGGCAATCTTTCTGGCTCCAGTAGATGCCATTCCCTATCACACAGTGTTTCCCACTCATAAATACATGACAAATACTTCCTCAATCATTTTTTACGAGCAGGGATGCACAGGGGGTAGTCAATGGCTAGCTTGAGGGAAAATAGGAACAGCAGGCGGCAGAAACTGTACAGAAAATGGCTATGTGGTAAATTCTCTTCTGGAACATCACTCAGTTACCCAGTCTTTGATCTTTCAGCTACAATTACACTAACTTCCACAAGAACTGGATCCTCCAACACACATACCCCAACCTCAACCAGATCATTAGTTATACATAAAACCTACTAAAACTTGGTTTTGTAAATGGGATCATTCATAGCTCTACAATGTTATAAATTAAAATTTGTTACTTACACAAGAGCTTAGTTTCAATTGGTTATAACCATATCATCATCACAACTGGTCTCACAAAAAACATGGGATGTCTGGCGACAGCTAAATCACAGACTGGCGTCTCCTAAGCAGTCTGTCTACCATTAGGGTCTGGAAAATGGTATTTACTATACAATTAGAGCCAGGGAGTTCTACCTGTAATCATCCAAATACAGGTGTGAGAATCCCCTTTGGGCAAGGAAACTGACTCATCCCTTTTCATGTAAAACTTTGATGTCTGTATTGTTTCACCTAGTCTCAGGAAACCTTACCATTCATACTATCCATGAGAAGATTTATTAACTGAGGTCAAATAATAAATTTAAAAATTCCTTCCTAAAGGTAACAGTTTTGAACACATTAATCATCAATTTTACAAGAATCTGAAGCAACACAGAACTGATTACTTTAAAGTTAATTACCTGCTGCAGGACATTGGCCAGTCTGAATTACTTTTTTATGTTAAATTTATACTCTAGAATTCTACCAATAAAGAGGTTAAATTCAGCTTCCTATCTGGAACAGAAAATGTCTTATAGTAATATCAACAGGGCATTTTTAGTTGCAGTAATTTCACAGAATTTATTCTAATGATTTATTGGAGTTAACCATCTGACATTAATTATTGTTTTGGCTTCTAGTCTATGAATGTTTATTTTTCAGTTTAAAGCCTTCTCACTCTTTGATATCATATGGAAATGAGAATTTTTAATGGAAAATTGAAACCATGTGCATCTAAGTACTTAATGAAGTACAGGGAGAAACCCACAATATATTTTAGGAGAATTCAGATACTTTACTTTGGATAGTTTTGATTTGTTTCTATGACTCAATAGTAAAAAACGCTGAAGGCAAGTCAAAATGAGCACTACACCAAATGTGTTCATGCCTACATTTAAGTATGATTTGGGGGAATTTTTTAAGAAACAAAAAATAAATCTTTCACATTTGGTTTCCATGTCAAAAGTGACAAACAGATCATAGCTTAAATTATGTTGGTATATTTTGAAGTATTTTAAAAGTATTTGAAACAGGTATTCCCTCCAGCTTTTTCCTCTTTTTTTTAAAACATTCTATCTGGATTTTAAAATTTAAGTCCAGCTTAAAACTCAAGTAGTTATTTTAAAGTCACTTACACAGCAATTCCTACCTTAGGGTATCACTGCTCCAAATACATTTATTCTCAATAACAGAAATAAAAATGCATAATAAACATTTGATAATACATATGTATGATTCTAAACTGCCTAATTTATTTTAAAAAGTTCTCTCAATGTAAATTACTTAGGAAACTAAATTTTCAATGTAACATCAGGCAAAGCTTTCTCATCTATTTAAAAATTCTTCATAAGGAAAAGGTATTAAAATCAGTTAAGTACATACATATGTGTTTGTGTGTATATACAAACATGTACCTGGGTATATATGAAGAGAAAAAACTTACCACTTGTTTTTCTTTCTAATGTAGTCTTTTTCAGAAAGATTAACCAAGTAGACCATTGGTTTCGAAGTCAAAAATAAGTGTTTATTCAACACTTCAATCTAAGTAGGAGATAAAGAATTCCTTTTAAAAGTTGAGTAAATAAGAGTAAATCACTAAGTAATCTGAAAGCAATGTTTTCTTTAAAACAAGTATTTTCACTTTTATAACGGTTGTTTCCAAATACTAGTTGTGAAATATCAAGACTAAAGGATGAAAGAAAAAAAGTAAGCCTGGGAATAAGCCACTACTGGCAGAAATAAAAGGACATATATTGATAAGTATAAAATAATAACAAATCTAATTTGTTCTCTTCGAAGCCAAAACAAAGCAGTAATAGCACCATATTTATAGCTTACCTCTTTGTCATTCCAATCATGATAGAAGCGAACAGGTTTCTTTTGATCTATAACCCAGGATTTGACTTTGCACATTATGTCCTTTCATGATTGAAAAAAAGAGGTAAATTCAAAATGAATACCAAGCATTTAGATAGTAAATATTAGAAGTTTTCAAATCCTCAATATAAAAGTAATTTTTAGTGAAAGCAGAACTAAGCCACATAAATAATTATTTTCAGTATCTCATTAAAAAATATCAATGAAACAATGTTGAGGTATTAAAAGTTTTATATGTAAAATGAAGATATTAGCAAAAGCAGTAACAGTTTGAAATATTCAAGACAATTTTATCATACGAAAGACAAACATAAGTTAATATTTCAGCTTTACCTAATGATGCCACATGCAAGATAAACACGCTATTAAGAAATGGGGAAGCATATACTGTAAGACTAAATTATAAATTTTTCCCTAAGGAAAACCAAACATAATAGACAAAATTGAGTCTATTATTGATGAGCTACCCTCCAAATATTAAATCAACTGACCAAAGCTCTTTTTCTTCTGAATTAATTTTTGCCAACACCTTCTCCCTGCCCATTTCTCCCACAGCTCCCCCACCCAACCTGCCAAAGCCTCCATTACACAATGGCAAGAGCCCTGCACTGGTGACCTCCAACCAGCTGCATTCACTTTCAGAACATCTCTCTCTGCAGGAAATCTAAAGGCCTTTTAGTTAGCCAGCTAGTGTGCATTCAGAAGGAGTAACTGCAGGAAGAGCCCAATGTGCTTTGTTTCTCTGGCCTTTCTTCACAGAAAGATTAATCATCTGTGAAATGGAAACGGCAAACAGCAAGTGACACAAACTGAACCCTTCAAGCCTTTCCTCATCAGTTTTGTGGTTCTGAATCTAAAAGCTGCGTGTGGCAAGGTTCTCCTTACAGGCAGGTGTTAATAAAAGGCTCTCAGGTCTAAAGGTCAAACATAGCTCTCCCAGAAGAAGCACATTTGAGAGTCATCTGGGGCTTTTTGTTGTTGTTGTTGGTTTTTTGGGGGAGGTGGGGTGGGGGATGAAAGATAACTTATGGATATACTTTAAATATGGATTTCTCAAAATTTATTTTAAAACAAAATTATCACTAATAGATTTCTTGAATTTTCATCAATATATTTTATAATACCATTAGTCTCCTATAAATGTCTACTTGTATAAATTATCTCAATATTCAGTATACTTTCTTTCCAAATCTTGCTGTTAACCAACAGAAAAAAAATAAGGAAAAAGCCCTATATCCTTAGATCCTGATTTGAAACCCTCCAGGAAAAGGACTCCCCACAGATTTTAACAAGGAAGGGGCAAGCCGAAAACTTTTAATGAAATCTAACATGTTCTGCTTAAGAATAATCACTTTTACTCTTCTATAACTGAATTTCACTCATAAATGTTTAAAAGTGGCTAATGTAACACCATTTCCTACAAGGAGAAGATCAAAGTGCTATATTACAAATGCATTATGATTAAAAAAGCCTTGTGCAGCCTTGCTATTAACTGTTCTTTAAACCCTAAAAGGCTTCCCATAGATCTCACTTGGCACTGCATATACAACCTTTGACAAGTAATGTAGACCATTTTTATTCATTGCCTAAAATTGTAGGCAATTATGTGCGTCACACTGGCCACCTGCAAATTCTGAATGCCTGCTCCAGTTGTCAGTGCAAAAAACTAATGTCGGAGGGGATTAATCTAGGGGGAGAGAGTCCTCTTTAATGGCTCCAGCAGGTGAAATGGCCCAGCTGGTTACTATGATGAGTGGCCAGAACAGCTTATGTAGAGACACGCAACAAGATTATACAAAAGGAGAAAACAGTGGTACCACCTTATATTTGGTCCCTCTAGTCTTTTTCAATTAAAGAAAATATGAAAGAAAGCCATTTCAAAAATAAGGGAATTAAATTTTAATCACATAAAAAAGTAAAAACTACTTTTGTAACCATAAAAAATGTTATAAAACCAAAAGACTTCCATAAGTGATCCCTAGTGAAGGAATTTCAGTATTTCTCTTTCATTTTACATTAACTGGATCACTTTTATACATAGAAATCTTATCACAAAAGCATTTTGGCATCAGCTCCACCCTCCATTAGTATATTATTACACATTAGGAACACTCCATTTTAAAAGAGGATTAAACAATATACTCTCAAACAATACAGTCCTTGAAGCACATTTAAATCTTTTTTTTTTTTTTTTTGTCTTTTTCATTTTTATCAGTAACAGGGATTGAACTCACAACTGCCTGCTTGCAAGGCAGGCGTTTATGCCGCTGAGCTAAATCCCCAGCCCCTTACACCTAGTTTCGAATAGCTGGAAGTAAAATATTTTTGTACCTGGTGCTAATTATCCCTACACAAGATTTAAGGACCAAAAAAATCAACATCTTAGATTTACTAAAAGTTGTCAGTTTTACATAAGATAAACCCTGTCATGGTTTGCATTTGGATGGCCCCCTCAAGCCTTATGCAATCATGGATGTGGCTAAATCTAGCATTTGTGGTTGGTTTGTTGTATAGCATTTGGATTGGTGCTATGAGTATCCCACCTGCCCAGAGGCAGAGCTGACATGCAGTGTAAGGACAAGAAGAAGGCGGGTCTTTCCTCTTTTGCTAGGTTAGCTCTTGCTGTTTTGCGGGAGCCATGAACAGTAGCCACCATGCCACCCTGCCTTGGAGCCAGCTGAATATGGGCTGAACCTCCAACACTATAAGAAATAAACCTTCCCTTTCCTAATTTTTGGCATCAGGTGTTTTGTCTCAATAAGAGAAAGGAACCAAGGCAAATCTGAAGTAGATAGCAATTAGACAAGATTATCTTGTATAACTGGTTGGTATATGGTACAGTTTCAGTGATTTTATTATATAATGTAGAAATTTAACTTTACAGAAAAATTAAAAATTATACTCTATCTTCTTAAAAAGTGTAAACAGATGAAAGAAAATATCTGTACTTATTTGGACTTAATGCTTACTCAGGTAACTGAATTTTCTTCCTCCTGCTCAAATGTATAAGTACATATAGTAATTGTGATGATTAGAACAATTAATTAAACTTAATACCATATGAACATAACTCTAATCTTTAATGCATTCAGAAGTTACATTGGGTTTTCATATTTCTTGAAAACTAAACTGAACTGTTCTGATAGCTTCAGCAATTTCTTCCTTTCAATTTTTAATTTTATTTATTTAGTTAGTGGTACTGAACTCAGGGCCTTCACACTGAGCTACATCTCTGGCCCTTTTTAAAATTTTTTATTTTGAGACAGGGTCTTACTAAGTCACTAAGTTGTACAGGCTAGGCTTGAATTTGGGATCCTGGTGCCTCAACCTCCCTTAATACTTTGGTCAAAGCATGCTCCAATATGCTAGGCTTGAAAATGAACTCTTCACATGATTATGGAGCTACATAACAAAAATTCCTGGTCACTTTAATTTCTGGGTTTGACTGCAGTTATCAGAGCATATATATATATATAATTTTTTTTTTTTTTGGTCTTTTTCCTTTTTATCGGTACCGGGGATCGAACTCACAACTGCCTGCTTGCAAGGCAGGTGCTTATGCCGCTGAGCTAAATCCCCAGCCCCTATCAGAGCATATTAATCCAAGAGGTTAACAGGATAATGCTTAAATCTGGGCAGCGGTGTGGAGGGGGGACCTCTTGTCTATCACTTATCAGGTCTGTGACCTACTGCACTGATAAAATGCAGGTTAAGGATATGCATTTGCTTGTGGGTTATGTAGATCAAAAGAGATAATGTATACACACTATTTAGCACAGTTCTTAGGGCTGGAGTTCTTAAAAACTGAGTAGTTGCTACTGTTACTATTCGTGCAAGACTGAATGTCAATGGTCTACAAACTTTTCACAATATTCTCTTAAGCATGCTGCTTTAAAGCACATACACATCTCTAATCTATATAATTATTCTCTAGTTCTTTTTAAATTTCTGAATTTCTAACAACATTGGCTTTCTTGGTTAAGTCTCATATCGGCCTTCTAATCTTTGCATTCTATAAGAACTAATTTATGTTGAATAGCTGATCTTTTAACTGCAAAGAAACCTAATCCAAACTCACTTTGAGTATCTTGCCCTTCTGCTTGATGTTTTTTATCCACAACTTCACATTTAAATTTAGAAATACTTTGCTTCCTCAATGTATTTTATTACCGTCATCCTTAACAACTGCAATACATTCAGATTCAGAGTATGCACAATTTGCCTAAATTCCCACAGCTAACTAATAGCTAAGGTATAAATGCAGGTCTAAGTGAATTGAAAGTTCATGTTCTTACTCCCTGACCCATTTGTGTTCCTTACTGCTTTTTTAACTGTACCTTATTTAGTCTAGACATCCCTAAGGATGTTATTCCAAGTCCTTATTCTCATCAGATCATCAGGGAAATTTAATATTCTTATCTTCTATATTGGTACAATATCTTTTTTTATTTAAGGTAATGAGAATTGAAACCAGGGTCTTTATACTATGCAATTCAGGCTGTTTTTGAACTCTCAGAGATGCTCCTATCTCAGTCTCCTGAGTGCTGCTATATGGGTACAATATCTGTTTGTCAATTTATGTATCACAGAAATAGTAGTACTGTATTTCTCTTTGCACATAATAACATAATAATCCAGTCAGTCACTTCTAGACTTTTCTTTTTCTTGTTTTTTGGTACTGGGAACCACTGAGCTATATCCTCGGCATTACTAGACTTTTCTAGACTACTTACAGACTTCTTTATTTTGGTATACTTCAGTTTATTACCAGTATTATTAACCTAAGATCCATCTATACATTTCTTTTTGTGTGTGTGTGTGTTTTTCCTTTTCATCGGTACCAGGGATCGAACTCACGACTGCCTGCTTGCAAGGCAGGCGCTTATGCCGCTGAGCTAAATCCCCAGCCCCTTCATATATACATTTCTAGGGTTTATAATGCCTAGAAAGTATGTGTAAAGTTCTACATTTACATATTTTTGAAGGAAGACAGAATAAATCTTTCAAATACTTTTCAAAAGGATTATGATCCAAAAATCCAA